AGATACTCTGAGGTAAATTGGATCGTTTTCTTTTTTTTTTTGGCTAACTCGAAGATAAACTGATTCGGTTCCTTTTACATTACTAATTCTTTTCACTGTTTTATTACTTGCAACTTTTTCCTTTCTTTCAGGAGTTTCTAGCACCTATACCAGAAAGCTAGAGAAATCTTTCGTCAAGTCCTCTGCTTCATGCTTCTGCTTCCTATATTCATTAGTTTTCTGGCTTCAAAGGTCCTTGATGGTACACATAATTTTCTGTGGGTTTAACTTTCCCATCTTTTCCTCTGAGAACAGTATAAGATTCAATTCTGCAAGTAATACTCAAGACAAACACTGTGTGTATAGTGATTAGCAGATTCAAAAAAATCGATACACGCTATGCCCTGAGGGTTCTGTAAATAGCATCATTAATTTTTGCAGCACTACCCAATAAGAAAGGTTCTGTGGGAAAATTTACATGCTCTTCCACGTTCTATTTGCATTACTTTTACCATACTAGCATGTTCTTTGGCTTATGTGAATCATTTTCGGGACTAAACTGGTGGGCTCAAATCTGTTGTATAATGAACCAAAGGATCAGAATCCGGAACTGGTGGAAGCAAATAAAGAAAGCCAATGCCAATGTGTAAAGGAGCTTTTGAGCTACATTCATGAATTTTTGGCCAGTGAATGTGGTTGATAGCTGGAGATTCTGAGGTTGTACAATGAAGAGGTGAAATCAACTGATTTACGAGTACGCACCGGGGACAATAAGTCCATTGGAGCGGAACTGGGAACCCCACATGCAGTGACGGAGCCAGGATTTTTTTTTTGGGGGGGCCAAAATTGAAATTCCATTCAAAAATGACTAATTCATATATATATATATATATATATATATATCAACTCTCATAATATAAACTAAAATTGAAAAAATTTAGGGGGGGTCAATTTTATTTTACACACATATTTACATATTATGAATTAAAATTCTCAAAACTTAGGGGGGACCATGGCCCCCCTCTACCCCCCTTGGCTCCGTCATTGCCCACATGGGTTGGTGCTTAGCTTAGTTTTCAAAGCTGAGTACAATTATCATCAATCTGATTAACTAGAATACACCATAATATGTTAACAATCTCCAAGAACGAAGGGACCACTGTCCCAATAAAAACAAGAAGACTGAGGAGTTCCCCAGGCAACGGGGCACATCTCAGAAGACAAAAATACACGTGAAAAATCTGCAAATATGTACGTATCATACGAGACTATAATCACGAACCTCCCATTTTGCTCCTGGATTTCCTGTTTCCGTGGTGCCACCATCTCGGGAGTCGGGACTCTTTTGTTGGGTGGCCTTGTTATGTAGGAGCCTAAACTGTTAGAATACAGAAGCTAATTAGGGAACAGGTGCATCAACTATTGACTGCACAAACAAGCATTACTGTGTGGCTGCAAAGCAATCGAGCTACTCGCTAGTCAAAACTCGATTTGAACTCGATTAATATCGAGCTCGAGTTGAGTTCAAACTTGCCAAATCAAATTTGAGCTCGAGCTCGAGTTCAAAATATTAAGCTCGTGAGCTCGAATATATATATATATATTTTATTTATTTTAATAATAAAATTACATATATATTCCTAATTTTTAATTATTTATTAAGAAAAAAATTATTTTATTATTTTTTTAGAAAATAAAATAATTATTTTTTTTGAGCTTGAGTTTGAGTTTTAGATTGATAGCTCTTTGAGCTCGAACTAAAGTTTGAGTTTGATAAAATTAAATCAAAACTCAACTCGATTAAGTCAAAACACGATTCGACTCGACTCGTTTATAACTCTAGTACTATATAAGTCCATTCAAGAACTCCCGTTTGAAAGAATCAAACTTTTACTTGTGACCCAGGGAAAAACTTCAATGGGGAAAATATTATTAACTAACCAGAGCCCATTTGTTCTTACTTCTTTGGCTAGTACCCCATTTGAGTTTCTTCAACTTCTAAACAGTTGCCTTTTTTCACCATTGCATTGTGTTCTCCTATCCCAGTATTAGATTGCTTCAATCATACTAAGTCGCAAGAGAATTGAACGTGTTGTAAAACCCAGGAAACAGGATCAAAGTCTATGCGTAAAAGTCAAACTATACATTTTGCTTCATTCTTTCCTTATTCCAGAATTCTGACGGTTTGACAAAATCGAGACATGATACTACTCCCTCCGTTCCTTATTAGATGGCCTGAATAACTAATTCTCTTAGATTAAGAAAGTTGATTATTTTCTAAAAGTCAACAAAAGTTTTACTTTACTTCTCAAAATTACCCTTTATCTCTCTTCAACTATACCTAATTAATACTACCTGTCATTTAATTATTTAGAGTTCCAATTCAAGAAAATTGAAAGGGTAAGCAAGGGTAAATTTGGAAAAAAGTTCATAAATGCTTTCTTGATATCATAAAATGACTGATAAAAAGAAACAATGGATTAGGACATCTAATAAGGAACGGAGGGAGTAATAACTAAGAATTCATTTATGAGAAAATGTTTCCTTGCGGCTTCCCAACACCCAACCACTTTTCACGAAGTACATCAACAATTAAAGAATTACTACTCGGTTTTGACTCGGATGTTGAAAACCGTGAGTCCCAAAAAAAAAAAAAAAATCTGCGGTTGCCCCTGCAAATGAATTACATTACTCACATTCAATTCGAAAGACAACAAATATATTATTTGAAGTACTGTAGCATTTTTTATGATGTTATGTATATGAAATAAAAAGGTGGTTGAGAATATAAAAAGGTGGGTTGGGAAATGTGTTTATGATGCAAGTGTTATTTGAGATAATAGTGATATCCAAACACTCGATTTTAGGAAAAAAAATTGTGAAGATAGATTTCGATACTAGCACCTTTAATACCGGGGTTCATGATTTTTAACAAGTCAACCAATCCGTTTGGATTGCTATTTTTTTAAAATTTTTATTAAAAGAATATGCTGTAACGATTTAATGAATGTAAAATTAAAAAATGATTAAGTAATTTCACAAAAAATATAAACATTTTTCCTTAAATAATTGTAATACAAACAAGGTTGAGAAGACTGGATTTTTTTGGACAGTTAATTCTTTATTTATATTATCAACACATTTTCTATCTACATTTTTATTCCACATACATCATGTTAAAAAGTAATACAGTATTTTTTTTTTTTTTGGAAAAAGCCAAAGCATGGTCTTTTGCTCAGAATGCTGGGCCGTCCAATGTGTGAAAATGGGTTTGGACTCATAGAACCCTCAATTTGGGCTCCATTACATTTTGCCTGTGGCCGAGAAAAGCATTTGGTATTTACTAATACGTATTTTGATTCTTATCAAAATGTTTTTCCTTAAATTTGATTCCATTAATAACAAAAACCAATAGTTTTTTCATCCCCTTGATCTAAGAAGGGTCCGTGAGGAAAAGGAAATTACGAAGTAGTTTTTTCAAAAAAAAATTTCCTCATCCACAGATGACTTTAGATTTAAAACGTTTTATGGTCAATTAAAAAACAGAAACGAGCGAAAAAGTATTTTAATGGGCTTTTCTATTAAAACATTGCGGTTGGCTAACACTTGCAATTGGTTAAGTCATAAGTGAGACGTTGGAGATAGTAGATTATTTGAGATAATTTTGTAAAAAAAAATACTGTAACACTTTTTTGATAAAATAAAAAAATATGAGACAGTTTGTTTACAAGAAAAAGTTAGAAAATGAAAGATAGTTAGTTATTTTTTCTTTTGTGTATGTTAGTTATTTTTTGTGTCGGATAAAATTTGTAAAATTGTGAAGGAAGATGGTTGGATAGACATAAAATTTTATTAATTGTTACTAACTACTGCTAATTTCTTATTTTCTCTCAAAAGTTGTCCTCTTCTGCAAGTTCTTTTACCTTACTTTCTCACACTGCAGTTTCTCACGTAACTTTCTCTCTATTCAAACAGAACCTAGGTGAAAAATTTTTGAAAAAGTGAATTTAATTTGACAAGATATCAAATATATGTTACACTTAAACGTGCCCACGTTAAAATAAAAAAAAAAAAATAGGATCGTCATAGATATTGAACAAGAACAATAGCATTAGAAAAGGCAAGTGTCAATCTAAATCTTAGAGTATCAATTATTCTTAGGGTTTGTTTGATAACATAAAAAAGTGCTGAATCTGAACTTTTTCAGACATTTAGATGTTTTGAGTGTTTGATAAATGAAAATTCATTTGCTGAACTTGTTAAGTAGTGCTGAACTTGTGTGTATTTTTTTCAGCACAAGAATCCTAACTGAATGCTTAATTCTGATAAGAATCAATAGAATCACTTCAACTATCTTATCTTATCTACCAAATCTACCCTTATTTATTGATTATGTTTAAAATTCTTGTATAATTAAACAACCTAATATTCTCTATCTAATGATTTTCTATTTTTTTTCTTCCTTTTGAATGACTTTCACTTCTTCTCCATACTCCTCATATAATATAATTCATCTTTTATATTAATTTGATTTAAAAATAAATATTGTCATTTTCATACCTAATATTTTTAGCTAATTAAATTATAGGTTCTATTTCTTTTTTGGATGAAAAGATATAAGGGCAAAATTGTCAAATTTAACTTATTAAGCATTCAGTTATAATTGTTTATCAAACAGTATAAATAGGTTTAGTATTAAAATTCAAACATTCATATATTTCTTTTCAGTGTTTAAAATTCAGCAAATTAATTGTTTCAGTATTCAGATTTCAGAATTCAGACTTCAGAATTCAGATTCAGTTTTATCAAACGGAACCTTAGTCAACAGAAGTAAAACTGGTGCCACATATAAGCTCCTTTCCTAAACTAATGTCCGAAAACGATTCAAATTACTATCGAAAACGATAATGTCTTTACTAGCTCATACAAAACCCAAAACAATGCCACCTATAAATATCAAATACCACTAGTATCAAATGCTAGTGTGAAGCATATTTTTCAGAAAAAAAGCATAATCATATATGCCGAGATTGCTGGATTTTCCAATGGTTGTTGGTGCAGTCGGTTTAGATGATAGCTGGACTACGGGTCACACATCAACAGGATTCATTATTCTGTGCTCCGTGCTACCTATAATTGCATTTATAGTTGGTTCTGTTTGCGGTTGGGTGTTGCAATGGTGATCAAGAACATGATCAAGACTCATCAAAGAAGAAGAGGATTAGCAAGGCTTGTACTGAGCCTCCCAATTATAACACTTATGACGACTATTATGGTTCTGAGAAGAAGAGTTCGTCCACTAATGGAAGTTCTAGCTCTAGCAACACCATGAATTATCTGGCTTATTTTGCTGCTAATAATGCTCTTTCTGCTGTTGGTGGTGGTGGTGGTGGTGATGGTGACAGGGGCCATCATCATCACCATCACGGCCGCCACCACCACCATCATCATGGCCATCACCACCACCACCATCATGTTAGATAAATGCATGTACTTGGCCTTTGATATAAGGGACAGGGTTTTGGAGGCGTTTCCATAGTGAAATTTATGCGAGAGCTTTTGCGGAATGTAAATTCTAAACCCCTGAAAACTTTAATTATCTTTGACATTGCTTTTTTTTTTTTTTTTAAATGGTAATTATGACCTGGGCTTACCATTTGTCAAGGAAAACTTATCCTGATGACGTTTTGTAAGTATATTTCTTATGCACAATAGTTATTGGCACTCCCGATTTTTTATTAATGGTAGCTTGAAAAAGAATTGCATAGGAAATGCAGAGCCATTAATTATAATTCAGAGTGCCAATGTAACGCGTTATAATGAGCAAATTTCTCTAATAGTCCTTCAACTTTTTTATTAATCCACGTTTGGTTCTCCATCTTAAAAATGGGTAGAATGAAAATTTGTTGGGTCAAATTGATCCTTATATTGTAGAGCGTCCAAGAAAAACTTGGATCAAAGTGGCAATGAGATTTGAATTTCTTGGCTATTCCGCCGCATAGGGACCAATTTGGGCCAAAAAATTTTGTTGGAGAACAATTATGTTTAATTTTTAAGATGGAGGACCAAACATGGATTAGTAAAAAAAATTGAAAGACAATTTGGGGGATTTGCTCCATTCTAATTATGTAGTTAAAAAAGTTAGAAAAGTCTTTGCAAGAACAAAATATGTTTAAAAATGTCTTGGGTCTATTGAAGTAGCTCTCAACTAATTGGTTACGTGCTTTAAACAACACAAGATTTTTCTCTGTTCCCTATTTCACTCAACTGCCAAACGCAGTTTTCCCCCCTTTTTCTCGAAAAAATGGGAGCCACCAGCAAGATAGGAATGGTAACGATGAAATAAAACCGTGAGCAAATTCTAGGGAAAAGCAACACAACGGATCTTCTGTCTCACACCCTGTGCCATACAGTGAGCAAATTTAACAAACTCAAAAAATCAAAATGCATAAAAAATGAGATTTTTTTATGAATTTTCTGCTGTATTTTTAAATTTTTTATTATATATTAGTTTTTTGAAGCTGTTGTATTTATTTTTTACTCAATTAATAGTTATTGGATCTTAAGGAAATAAAAAAGAATTAAAACATGATGTTTGTGAAGGAGAAATAACAATATAATAAAAAGTGGAACCGAGAGTGGCACAGAGTGTGGGATAAAAGATCCGTTGCGAGCAATATAATTTTCTGTTGTATTTTTTAATTTTCTATTATATATTAGTTTTTTGAAGCTGTTGTATTTATTTTTTACTCAATTAATAGTTATTGGATCTTAAGAAAATAAAAAAGAATTAAAACATGATGTTTGTGAAGGAGAAATAGCAATATAATAAAAAGTGGCACAGAGTGTGGGACAGAAGATCCGTTGCGAGCAAGCATACACTATCTTGTGTAATTAACTTATAATTCATGAGACGAATAAGTCATGATCCAGTCTCGCTTCTTTATATCTTGTCTTAATCACTGACCTAATCAAGAAGTTGCTTGATCCAGTCTCATTTTCTTCTGTCTCTCCTCAATTGGTTAAGTAATCAAAGAGATGCTTTGAGAGGCAAATGACAAATAAGTCTTGAGAGGCAAACTGATTAATCGCCTTTTATTATTCAATTTTTTAGTTTCCTTGCATCTCAAGACTTAGAAAAAGTCCAAAAATTTTTTTAATCCGGAGAGAGAAAAAATGCCAGTACTACATAGAATTCTATAGTCAACTAAGGCTGCGTACAAATATTAGAATGCAATAATTCATCATTATTCTGATCAAAGGCCTCTAGGAATTAGCTGGCAGTGTGAAATACAACAATTTCAGAAAATTGCCCTTTGCATTTACAGTAATGTAATCTATACAAATGCAAAAATCTATCGAAACATTTCTGGGGGATTCCCCATTCAAGAACTAGTTCATTTGTTTGACTTGGGAGGCATTCTAATTGAACTTGATGGAAAGGAACGGTTTTGGACGCGTATCAAGTTTGGAATTTATCTTTGTGGTATGTAAATTCTAATTCTAAGAAAACGAAATTATCTTTGACTAGCGTTTAATTATAATTATGACTTTGATTTAACATTTTCCAAAGAATAATTACTGTAATTAATACTAGTTCGGATTGATCTTTCTTATAACCTCCTAAAATCTTTAAAATTATTAGTACTGAATACATGACACATAATCGTTATTCAAATTTTAATCCTCTTGTTGTACATGTTGCGTGAATCTAGACTCAGCGACGTGAAAATATACACTAATGCTATTGCAAACATTAATCCAAATGGTTTAAATTTTTTATACATTAATGGTTGATAAGGTAATATAACAATTAATATTTTTAGAATTACAAGTCATAGTTCAAATTCGCTATCCTGCCTTCCCGCTTCTCGCACCTCATCTTTTTCTTGCTCAAAAGAAAATCAACTAATGTTACTGGCCCTTCATTTTGTTAATGGCGCTCCAATGGGCTTTTGTAAAATTGAAAAGTAGATGAAGCATTTTTTTAAATTATTTTTGTCCATCAATAATGATCACGAATATGTATATATATATTTATTTATTTTAATAATAAAATTACATATATATTTCTAATTTTTAATTATTTATTCAGAAAAAAATTATTTTATTTATTTTTTTAGAAAATAAAATAATTATTTTTTATTTTTTCGAGCTCAAGCTTGAGTTTTAGATTGATAGCTCTTTGAGCTCGAACTCAAGTTTGAGTTTGATAAATTTAAATCAAAACTTAGTTCAATTAGATCAAAACTCAACTCGACTCGACTTGTTTGTAGCTCTGATACTGTATAAAAGTTCTAGACAAAGTCCATTCAAGAACTCTCCTTTGAAAAGAATCAAACTTTTACTTGTGACCCAGGGGAAAACTTCAATGGGGAAAATATTATTAACTGACCAGAGCCCATTTGTTCTTACTTCTTTCGCTAGTACCCCGTTTGAGTTTTCTTCAACTTCTAAACAGTTGCCTTTTTTCACCACTGCATTGTGTTCTCCTATCCCAGTATTAGATTGCTTCAATCATACTAAGTCGCAAGAGAATTGAACGTGTTGTAAAACCCAGGAAACAGGATCAAAGTCTATGCGTAAAAGTCAAACTATACATTTTGCTTCATTCAAATGTATAAATAAATATATATATATATATACATAGATGTATAAATAAAAATTCATTTGCTGAACTTGTTAAGTAGTCCTGAACTTTATTTATACATCTAAATAAAAATTCATTTGCTGAACTTGTTAAGTAGTGTTGAACTTGTGTGTATTTTTTTCAGCACAAGAATCCTAACTGAATGCTTAATTCTGATAAGAATCAATAGAATTACTTCAACTATCTTATCTTATCTACCAAATCTACCCTTATTTATTAATTATGTTCAAAATTCTTGTATAATTAAACAACCTAATATTCTCTATCTAATGATTTTCTATTTTTTTTCTCCCTTTTGAATGACTTTCACTTCTTCTCCATACTCCTCATATAATATAATTCATCTTTTATATTAATTTGATTTAAAAATAAATTTTGTCATTTTCATACCTAACATTTTTAGCTAATTAAATTATAGGTTCTATTTCTTTTTTGGATGAAAAGATATAAGGGCAAAATTGTCAAATTTAACTTATTAAACATTTAGTTATAATTGTTTATCAAATAGTATAAATAGGTTTAGCATTAAAATTCAGACATTCATATATTTCTTTTCAGTGCTTAAAATTCAGCAAATTAATTGTTTGAGTATTCAGATTTCAGATTTCAGAATTCATAATTCAGATTCAGTTTTATCAAACGGAACATTAGTCAACAAAAGTAAAACCGGTGCCACATATAAGCTCCTTTCCTGAAAACGATTCAAATTACCATCGAAAACGATAATGTCTTTACTAGCTCATACAAAACCCAAAACAATGCCACCTATAAATATCAAATACTACTAGTATCAAATGCTAGTGTGAAGCTTTTCAGAAAAAAAACATAATCATATATGCCGAGATTGCTCAATTTTCCAATGGTGGTTGGTGTAGTCGGTTAAGATGATAGATGGACTACGGGTCACACTTCAACAGGATTCATTATTCTGTGCTCCGTGCTATCTATAATTGCATTTATAGTTGGTTCTGTATTGATCCTGTTTGCGGTTGGATGTTGCAATGGTGATCAAGAACGTGATCAAGACTCATCAAAGAAGAAGAGGATTAGCAAGGCTTGTACTGAGCCTCCCAATTATAACACTTATGACGACTATTATGGTTCTGAGAAGAAGAGTTCGTCCACTGATGGAAGTTGTAGCTCTAGCAACACCATGAATTATCTGGCTTATTTTGCTGCTAATAATGCTCTTTCTGCTGTTGGTGGTGGTGGTGGTGATGGTGACAGGGGCCATCATCATCACCATCACGGCCGCCACGACCACCATCATCATGGCCATCACCACCACCACCATCATGTTAGATAAATGCATGTACTTGGCCTTTGATATAAGGGACAGGGTTTTGGAGGCGTTTCCATAGTGAAATTTATGCGAGAGCTTTTGCGGAATATAAATTCTAAACCCCTGAAAACTTTAATTATCTTTGACATTGCTTTTTTTTTTTTTTAAATGGTAATTATGACCTGGGCTTACCATTTGTCAAGGAAAACTTATCCTGATGACGTTTTGTAAGTATATTTCTTATGCACAATAGTTATTGGCACTCCCGATTTTTTATTAATGGTAGCTTGAAAAAGAATTGTAAAGGAAATGCAGAGCCATTAATTATAATTTAGAGTGCCAATGTAACGCGTTATAATGAGCAAATTTCTCTAATAGTCCTTCAACTTTTTTATTAATCCACGTTTGGTTCTCCATCTTAAAAATGGGATAGAATGGTTATTCAATAAAATTTTTTTGGGTCAAATTGATCCTTATATTGTAGAGCGTCCAAGAAAAACTTGGATCAAAGTGGCAATGAGATTTGAATTTTCTTGGCTATTCCGCCACATAGGGATCAATTTGGGCCAAAAAATTTTGTTTGAGAACCATTATGTTTGATTTTTAAGATGGAGGACCAAACATGAATTAGTACAAAAAAATTGAAAGACAATTTGGGGGATTTGCTCCATTCTAATTATGTGGTTAAAAAAGTCTTTGCAAGAACAAAATATATTTAAAAATGTCTTGGGTCTATTGAAGTAGCTCTCAACTAATTGGTTACGTGCTTTAAACAACACAAGATTTCGATTAATAGTTATTGGATCTTAAGGAAATAAAAAAGAATTAAAACATGATATTTGTGAAGAAAAAATAGCAATATAATAAAAAGTGGGACAGAGAGTGACACAGGGTGTGGAACAGAAGATCCGTTGCGAAAAACGCATGAGACGAATAACTTCTTTATATCTTGTCTTAATCACTGACCTAATCAAGAAGTTGCTTGATCCATTCTCATTTTCTTCTTTCTCTCCTCAATTGTTTAAGTAATCAAAGAGATGCTTTGAGAGGCAAATGACAAATTAGTCTTGAGAGGCAAACTGATTAATCGCCTTTTATTATTCAATTTTTTAGTTTCCTTGCATCTCAAGACTTAGAACAAGTCCAAAAAAATTTTTTAATCCGGAGAGAGCAAAAATGCCAGTACTACATAGAATTCTATAGTCAACTAAGGCTGCGTACAAATATTAGAATGCAATAATTCATCATTATTCTGATCAAAGGCCTCTAGGATTTAGCTGGTAGTGTGAAATACAACAATTTCAGAAAATTGCCCTTTGCATTTACAGTAATGTAATCTATACAAATGCAAAAATCTATCGAAATCCCCATTCAAGAACTAGTTCATTTCTTTGACTTGGGAGTCATTTTAATTGGACTTGATGGAAAGGAACGGTTTTGGACGCGTATCAAGTTTGGAATTTATCTTTGTGGTATGTAAATTCTAATTCTAAGAAAACGAAATTATCTTTGACTAGGGTTTAATTATAATTATGACTTTGATTTAATATTTTCCAAAGAATAATTACTGTAATACTAGTTCGGATTGATCTTTCTTATAACCTCCTAAAATCTTTAAAATTATTAGTACTGAATACATGACACATAATCGTTATCCAAATTTTAATTCTCTTGTTGTACATGTTGTGTGAATCTAGACTCAGCGACGTGAAAATATACACTAATGCTATTGCAAACATTAATCCAAATGGTTTAAATTTTTTATACATTAATGGTTGATAAGGTAATGTAACAATTAATATTTTTAGAATTACAAGTCATAGTTCAAATTCGCTATCCGGCCTTCCCGCTTCTCGCAACTCATCTTTTTCTTGCTTGAAAGAAAATCAACTAATGTTACTGGCCCTTCATTTTGTTAATGGCGCTCCAATGGGCTTTTGTAAAATTGAAAAGTAGATGAAGCACTTTTTTTAATTATTTTTGTCCATCAATAATGATCACGTTATATAATTAAAAATGTTAGAAAACTATATGCTGCAATCCTTATAAATTATATTATGCTTCTATACGGAAAGACATACTTCATATTTCTTCTGAATGTAAATGTAGTAAGAGAAAATTTATTTAATTTATACACTTTTGTGTGTATGATCATGGGTAGGTTTCAAAAATAAAAGCAAAAAAGCATTTGTGTTTTTGGTTGCATATTTGTTTCAATACTTTCTATTTCAAGATTTCTTTACAACTACACTCTTTTGTCTTTTTTTTTTCCCCAACATTTTGCTCAAATGACAAATGCAGTTCCTCCTCCTCGAAACAACATCGGGAGCTAGCAAGGCAGGGATTAAAGTAGAACAAGTCCTACATTTTTTTGGAACCCCCTCTCCCCCGACAAACATCCAAACCTCAAAAAAAGGGATAATTTCATAAACCTCTCCTAAGATTTCTGACAATTTCACTAATCTCCCCTAAGATTAAGGTTTTGATAATAAAATCAGTCCAATTAGAAAAAGTAACATTAAAAAATACTTTAAGGAGAGAGATGAAACATTATTTCATAAATACCCCTTATGCATGTATATAAGTTGTATTAATAAAAAAATAAAAATAATTAAAAACTAAAAACAATTAATACATATATTTCATCATTCAAAAAGTTCACATTTAATAAATTAAACAATATAAATAAGCAACAAAACTACACTAATGATTACAAGATTTAACAAAGCAGACTAGTTATCTCTTTTGATATGATGTTTGCTATGATTCTTGTGATTTTGAACAGAATTTTCTTTCCCCTCCATTCTCCTTTACTAATATCTAACGATTAAGTAATTAGAGCACTAATTAACTATTAGTATAACGAAAATAACTGTTAAAAATTTCTTTAATGATGAACAATGACTTATATTTACAAAATAACATTAATTGATATACCTAATGGAAAAAAGGAGGGAAAATGAAAATTTTTCTATTCAAAATCACAAGAATCATATCAAACATCATACTAAAAGAGATAACTAGTCTGATTTGCTGAATCTTGTGATCATTAGTATAGTTTTATTGCTTATTTATGTTGCTTAATTTATTAAATGTGAACTTTTTGAGTGGTCAAATGTGTGTATTAATTGTTTCTAACTTTTAATTATTTTTATTCTTTTATTAATATAACTTATGTACATACACAAGGGGTATTTATGAAATCATAGTTTCATCTCTCTATTTAAAGTACTTTTTTAATATTATTTTTTTTAATTGGACTAATTTTGTCATTAAAACCTTAGTCTCAAGGGAGGTATGTATAATTTTATAAATTTTAGGAAAGGTTAGTGAAATTGTCAGAAACCTCAAGGGAGGTTGCGAAATTATCCCAAAAATAAAAAGTTGACTGAGTTCGCCAGACTTAGAACAAGCAATACAATTTATCACTCACTCTCTCTCTTAAATTCGGACAACGAAAAATACTAGTAGTATTTGACTGACTCAATCTTGATGGCCACCGACCATTAAACTTGAACCATCGATGATCCGTCAATCCATCTTGTCGGCAGTAGCGTTAAATATAATTCTCATGATGTGTGGGCTCTGGCTAGTAGTGTGGAATACATATTCAGAAAAGAAATATACATATATCATATATGGGAAGGATGCTAAATTTTTCGATGGTTGGTGTGGTCGGTCCAGATGATGGATGGAACATTGAATTCATTTTTTTGTTAGTGTTCGGATTCATGTTTGTATGTGTAATCGGTTCTTTAGTGATCCTATGTTGGAACAGATGGTGCGGTCGTAAAGAACTTGATCAAGATCATCAAGAGGAAAATCCCTGTTATAATACTTTTGGCAATTATGGTTCTGGGAAGAAGAAGAGTAAGTCCACTGGAACTACCAGCTCTAGCAGCGCAATAAATTATCTCGCTTATTTTGCTGCTGTTGCTTCTCTTGCTGGCGGTGGTTATGGGGGCGGCAACGGCCACCACGACCATCACCACCATCACGGCCACCATCATCACAATCCCGGGCATCACCACGGCCACCATCACAATCCTGCAGGGCATCACCACCATCATCACAATCCCGGGCATCACCACGGCCACCATCATCATGGCGTTTGATGGTAAGCTATGCAACATATATAAGATGCATTTGGTAAAAACCAATCTAAGTAATGAAGCTTTTGGACGTATTTCAATTTCAGAATATATCTTAAGAGTTATCGTGGCATGTAACTTGTAATCCAAGGAAAGTTTTGTTTATCTTTGCGATTGATTTTTTTGTTTCTCTTTGAGAAGAGACAAATTCTTTTATAGATGCTCTGGAGTTCAGAAACTCCGATAGTGAGCAAAAACCACAACAAAAAGAATGTGCCGAGGTTTTGGCGTACATACATCATGTAGACTTTGAGAAAAATACACAAGAAAATGTAAAACTCAGGAAAACATTGCATTCATACATGACTAGGAGTCTAGGACCAAAGCTCTGGAATTTTTCTGAATATTCTGTTTCCGATATCTGTACTATAGTTCGGTGGTTAATAATAAGCCACCTTAGAAGACTCGGATTACTAGTCAAAATGGGCATTATTAGATGAATTCACGACCTTTATAATTTTAGTCGAAACCGGAAAATCGTTAATTGTTACTACACTTGGTAAATTATGGTTGGATGCTGGGAGCTAGAAGGAAACATGACTTTTTTTCTTTTTAAAGAGAATTGATTATGATTTTTACTTACCCGCAATGACTCGAACACATAATCTCTCGATTATAGGTGAAACGTTTTATCTATTTAGTTACGTTCGTTATCAAAATCATTTGAGGCACGACTTATCACTTATCAAGTGAAAAATTAACGGCACAACTAATCATTTATTAGTGAAAAATTAACCTTTTTGGAACAAGAAATGATCTAAAAGATTATACCATTTGAAAGGTGATTGTATATCATATTCAAAAAGTCGAACATTTTTTTCTTGAAATCTTTTTTAATCAAATTTTCAGTTCAATTCAATGGAAATGCACAGGTGAGATTCTCCATAAAAGTTCTAGACCAAACTTGAAAAAATGATATATGGTTTGGCTAATGAGTACCCATTGGGCAGTTGATAAAAGAGGAATTGCATGTTAATTCCCAAAAGTATCACAATTCAGGAAGTATAATGGGGGAGGATTGGGTTGGATGTTTACCGAGAGGGGGAGGTGGATTGTAAGTAGGAAGTTTTGGACTGAAACACTTCTATTTATTGAAAAAAATTCAGGAGATATAATAAATACGAGTGTATGTTTATATGCTAATTTAGGAGTGATTTAGGTATCTTAACGACTACGCACCCGTTAGAAAATTTTAATTATAAAGGTGGTTGTAATTTGTCCCTCAAATTTGGTTGTAGGAGAGCAATGCATGGTTTGCTTACCAAAGGGAACACACCGTTTGAATTATATATATATATATATATATATATATATATATATATATATATATATATATATATATATATATATATATATATATATCGACTGACTTAGCTTCTGGGACCCTAAAACTTGCTTGATATATTATTTCTCTGATGATTAGCTTTTGCTTACCAAAATCCTATCCTTCCCAGCTTCTAAGGTCTAATCATGTTTCAGGTGTAGTAATCGAACTCTTTCCTTTGACACCACCTTTGGATTATTAGATAATTTACCTCACACAAGCAATGGGGCCAAAAAGAAAACTAATAATCTTGGACCATCCATCATTTGACCTTTTCTGCATCAGAATTCTCAAGTTTAGGGTTGAAATCGAGAAATGAAGCGGATCATAATTCTCCGAAACTATTGACTGGTATTATGTATAAACTGAATTACTGGTGCATTCAACCCAAAAAAAAAAAAAAAAAAAAAAAACTTTTGGCCACGAGCTAGTACATAGACAAGAACCCAATTTAATTAGTGATCTAATACGAAATTTTGACCAGGCAACACACGAGTTTGGCGGCCAAATATCTTATCCTTCTAGCTCTTGTCTTGAACGACAAAGCACGTTCAAAGCAATCAGGACCAGGAAATTAATCATATGTATGCAAAGAGAATTATAAATGAGTCATGGAAGCATTACAAAATCAGCCCGACAAGGACTCTATTTCAAACCCAAAACAATGTCAAAAAATAACAGCAATATCATCCAAATCAATCAACCCATAGCAATTACATAAATCGATCGATGCCTATACATACCCGTATAGGCCGTCCAGTTTTAAGTCCGAAAAACTTTCTTCAACATTAATGAAGATGGTTAGGTTCTTGAAGGCTTCGTTGAACGGTTGTGGTAGCTTTTCAAATTGCGTAGCTCCAAGCACAGGCGGCTATGGAGGGCTGCTTGTGCTCTGCATGTTTGTGGTAACTTCTCTTGTAGCGGTCATCGTGATTATATTTGGATGTGGCGATCATCAAGATAAAAAATCAGCCAAGAAGAAACAAACTAGAACCTCTAGCACCAGTACAAGCAGATCTTGTGGTTATGGCGCAGGTGCTCGTGCTGGTCAAGCTAAAGAATCAGCGAAGAAGGTGCAATGTAGAACTAATAGCACTAGCAGCTCTGATGATTATTATTTCCTTTATTATGGTGCTGGCGCTGCTTTAAGTACTAGTAGTGCATGTGATGGGCATGGAGGTGGTGGCAGCCATGACGGCCATGGAGGCAATTGTGGTGGTCATGGTGGTGGTTGTGGTGGTGACGGGTGCGATGGTGGCGGCTGTGGTGGGGGTGGCTGTGGAGGTAATTAGCCAAAGATGTGCCCAGAAGAACCGGGGAATTGCTTTATTTATTTATTTATTTATTTTGGAATTTTCATCATTGAACTGTACTTAATATACAGGTTTTAGACGAATCACTATTTTGAATACTTGAAACATATATCTGATAATTCATACTATCTTAGGGACTGTGTTCGTTAGTTTTATTCTTCCAATTGTAATACACCCTATTAGTTGTGTAAGTTATGAACTCAAATTGAAAAAAAAAATTTAAAAAAAAAAGAAATCTAATAGTTTCTGAGTTTTATTTTTTTCTTTGATTTACTTTGCAATTAAGATAAAATTAAAAATTTTTTTACCTTCATATCTCTCTTCACACCCTTCCTAGTTTCTTATTAATGTGTGTGTGTGTGTGTGTGTATATATATATTCATTCTAATATTTGCATTCATGCCAGCACATATATATCAAACATGACACAGATACATAATTCTAATAATAAAATTTACAATAATTACGATATTGGACAGAGGTCTTCTAAACCTTTGGTATAGGTTCAAGCAAATCCAATTGGATGCAAGTTCATTTCATGTCTTTGACTCCGCATGAATTTGTGTCAATTATTTGGATTTGGCTCCAGTGTTCCGCCTTAAAGTTAGGATGCATAAACAAAATCCTTGGCTGGGATTTATTTGTACTCATGAAAAAAAAAAAGTATACAAAGAAAAAACTAACAATTTAACTTATTTTTTGTCTATAAAAATACCCATCCGTCCAGTTAATTTCCTTCAATTCTGAAGAGAAAGTAACGAGTGCATGAGTCCTGTTGTTTCAATTTTCATGCCATGTTCAAGAAGAAGAGTTTGATTGATGCAACTGAAGATTAAAAGAGGCCTGTGAGCAATTTCCTTGTCCATCGAAAGCCCAGATTCCTTGCATTGCACTGCAGTAATATACAGGAAAGAATGGCAAGATTCCTGATCTCGCCTTTGGATGGTGCCAATCCATATAGGTTAGGTGCAAAAAACAGTGGTTATGGAGGCTTGGTTTTGGTTGGCATGATAATAGCATCCCTTGCAATTTTATCCATGATTATATTTGCATGTGGCAGTAGCCAAGGTTATGAAGGTTCATCAAAGAAGGGCAAACGTGATAGATTTTTGGTTTATTATAATAATTATGGTAGCGATGGTGGACATGGCCGTGGTGGTGGCCATGATGAAAGCTGCGGCGACGGTGGCGGCGGAGGAAGCAGCAGTTACCATGGTGGTGGCTGTGGTGGAGGATAAGAGCGGTTTCACTACATCTCTTGATGATTCAAACCCGCAATTTATTAATACATCTCTTGATGATTCAAACCCGCAATTTATTAATTACAGGTGAAGCATCTTACCAACTAAACCGTGCTTCGTTGTCAATTGATGTGTTAAACAACATTTAGAATGTAAAATTCAGTTTCTGACTGATGGGAATTCTGAAGTGGTATTAGTACATATGCGGTTTATCTGGAGGCCTTCTTGTAATGTATTACAAATACTAATTAGAAGCTGATAGATACTAATTTCTGAAGATGTTGGTGCACTTGTACGATTTTTCTTCAGAAGATCCATAATGATCAGTTGTGATTTATGAACTCAAGAACACAACTAGGCAATGATTACTGCACGTTTTGTTATCTAATGTTTGGGCATGCATAAATATGCACGTAATGATGAGGTGATCTCTCTTGTGCCAGCAGAAAATTTGTTCCAGCAAAACCCTAATTGGCTAATATCCTAATCTCGTAGTACAACAATTAATGTCTTGCTGGATTGCGTCAATCACTTCATAAACTGCATTGCTTTGTCCAGTGATATGGAGCTGAATACATAGAAATAAGAAATAACCAGCCAACATATGCAAGATTAACTCGCTAGGGAAATCATCTGGTATCAAAAGCAGAAGTTGCAGGTATGACCAAATTCTAAGATCTCAACCAAAAAGTTTGTCGACTAATATAAGGTGAGTGTTCTATAAAAGGGATATCTAGTTGATTAATATGTACAACTCCAAATGCCAAAGTTCTATGGCACAGAAAATGAATTGTTGATTATTTTGACAGTTTTAACACATTAGCAAATTTCACCTAAAAAAAGCGCTCAAATGAAGCTCACAATTCATTCACAAAACTAATAACCCCACCAAAATTTGAAGGTTAAGTTTTGATAACGCGGCCCTTGTACTGTCCTCTCCGAATCACAAAATTATCAGGAGGTTGAAACTCTTCTAACCAAGTCATGTGAGTGATTGTCTCTCCATCCACCTCAAGGCTACCTTCATTATTGACAGAAAGGGAGAGTCAGGTGAGTTGTTCAAGTTAATATACTTATACAAGAGAATTGCAGAAACTTGTCAGAAGCTCGAATTACCAGGCAGATCTCCTCTTGGGGACCTTCGGAAATATGTGCAATGCCGTCCATCCTCAGAGGAGTAGGGCGGAGAAAGGATGTCAAAAATGGCACAGGGAGTTATAGCTTTGAAACAATGTATGTTACCTCCACTAGTTGGATAGAGAACTGTTGTTTCAGTCGGAGCAGTCATCTCACAGTCCCTTGCGAGTTTTGCCGGTCTTGCTAAATCCCAGGAAAAATATCAAACTACGTAAAAGAACTATAACATCCTTTCCATTGAGTAATCAATAACGCTATCGAGGTATTGGGGGAAAAAAATTCAAGAAACAAGAAAACATCCCTAAGAAATCAAGGCTGAAAAAAGCTAACAAGTACCAACACAGCAAGGTCAGACAAAAAAACAAATCTATATACGTCTTGCCAGTAAAAATATTTGAATAAAAAGGACCCACAGTCCCATGGACTCATCCTATAACATTTGTTTGATTTACTGTTCTCCTATAAAAATGTCCATCCTTTTAGAAAAAGCTATTCAAATTTAAGATCACAATGTACTATGATATAGAAAATCAGAAAAATGATGAAATATAGTGAGATGGAAATAAACAAACTAAAAACCCAAAAGAGAAAGAAGAGCGGCAGAAAGGAAAGCTTCGTGAGGTTAAAAATGGTAAAGTTCTATAGCTGTAGAAACATACAAACAAATAAGCAATTTGATTTCCAATATTAGTACACAAGAATTACGCTGCTACTTTCAGAAAAGCACCAAGCTCTTAGAAGCAGACATGTTAATCATTGGGATCAAGCATAAAATATGTACAGATATTTCATGTCAAAAGGTCGAGCTAGTATAATGGCACACCTTCAGACGGATCAGATGGCCCAGGGATGTCAATCCAATCAAAGGATTTCACATGCAAGGAACCATAGAGAAGCTTGCTTAACACGGTCATGCCCGGATGATTATGAAGGGGAATGATAGAATAAGCAGGCATACAGAAAATTCCCATCTGCAAAAGTACACACGACATGACGGAATCCAAACCAGGATTTACCAACTTTTGCCTTTAAAAAGTTAAACCTACAGCATATATTGAACTGTGTGCTCAAGCCTGTAGTTTAATAACAAAAGTTAAAGCACAAAACAAAGTTAAACTTTGATTAATCGTCGGTTGAGCACTTACAGAGAAGCTATCAGATTCATGTAAGTGCAGGTATTTAATTGGTGGCATTGACTCAGGAACCCCATTATGTCCACGCACCGAACCTTTCCACCCACGTACTAACTGAGCCTCCTGCTCAAGACCCACATCTGATGGTTTAATTTTGTCTGCCAAAAACAAGAGAGAGTTATGAGGCGTTCAAATCCACAAGAACTGCATAAAAGAAACAGTTTCATGCCAAAAATTCTGGCCCTATAGCCTTATGCAACTGGAAACTACTTAATTTACTAGTAGTACTGGAATCAACTTGATGCAGAGAAGGTAACTTTAATAATTGGCAGTTTTTTGGTACTATTCATCTAATTATGCCAAGAACTTAAATTTTTGCTTTGACAAAGTCATTCAGCCACTTTCTTGCACAGGAACTTTTCCTAAAATGTTAGACAACTGATGGAATGCAGACACCATCATACGCAACTACCTAATCTTGAAAATGAGATGACATCATCTTGTTGGATAGTAGATATGATCTGATATAGCAAGGAAACATAAAAAGGATTTGTTGTTCAAAAAGTGCCATTTAAGTTTCATACTTAATTGGCAATACAGCAATCTCTCTCTCTCTCTCGCTCTCTCTCATATGTGGATTAAGTCTTAAAAGTACTCTACCATAGGCAAAGAACAAAGAGAAAAATCTAGTTTCATAGAAAAAAAGAGTGCAATTCAGATTCAAATAAGGACCTAATGAAAAATAAAAATAAAAGAAACCACATGAGGGTATCCCAACAACCCTGATTCATATTACACTCATATATAAATATTGTAAACGACCTCCAGGTGAAATGTTGAAGGAAGTTGCAATGTGTAACTAATGGCAGATGTTGACAATGAACATCTAATACTTACATGTCTGAAAATGGTACTTATGGGCCGACAGGAGAGGTTCCTCCATAGCATGCTCACAAGCAGTCCAAACTTCCTATTGGGTGCTACTTATATAACAACTTTAGATGCACATTATGCACATTCCAGATCTCAGTGGTTGAGGCAGTAACCAAAGCAATCCGTTAAAACACGTGCAGACCGGCAAACCAAAGAAAAGAAAAAGAAAAAAAATTCCCAGATCGTTATGTAAAGATCTCAGCCAATTTTGTCTCACTAGTTCTCTTCTCATCCAAGCTCCACCCTGCCCTAAAAAAGCCAACTGAGTAAAAACCCCTTCAAATAAAAATGCCAAAAAAGGAAGAATTTCTTCCTCTAGAGGATCTCTTCCCCTCTCCTCCCAAAAGATATATGAAAAAGAGACCTCTCCCTCTGTCCCATCTCTCTTGCTGAACATAGAAGGAGAATCTTTTATACAAGAATCCAAATTTCTTCTCTTTAAGTGTCTTAGGCAGCCACTCTAAGCCACAATTCATGTGATGCAGCACCAAGTGGAGTGAAGAGATGATAAGATCTCTTTTGAAATGCTTGTGTGTGAAAACTTAAATTATAGGATTTCCACCTATGTTTTTCTAGAAACTGCCACTCAAAATTTCACAAAGAAAGCACATCACAACATCATAAATTTAAAACAATTTCGTTGAATTCCTTCATAACCTAAGGCTATGACAACAGAGAGAGAGAGAACATGCCAGCCTTAGAGGCCAAGGATTCTTAACAACTAGCTTAATCAAAGAGCTAAGGAAGCTTCACATAGCAAAAAGGTGTAAGAATCCAAACTGGGTTGAGTGCTTTAGAAAAGGCAACCATAAACTTGAGTTCGACACTTAAAGGCAGGACTCTTATCAAAAATCTAATTCGGAAATTGCTAGGGCTAAAAAATGAACCAATATACTTGATACTTGAATCGGCTTTAGCTTTGATAACAGCTCGTTTGAGTTTGGTTCACCAGCTAATCAAGCCACATTTGAACAGCGTTTTATGTTCAATAACATTCAAACTCAATAAAAGCTAGTTCAAACTCGTTTTGGCAAATAAACAAGCCAAGCTTGAACAAATTTTCAAGCTCGTTAAAATAATCAACCAAGCTTGAACACTAGGGTGTTCGCCTTGATTAGGTTCTTTTATACCCCTAGAAATTGCACCTAGCTGGCACAAAGACCTGATATCCCTGCTGCATAACTGCTGAAATTACAAAAATACCGTCAGCATTCAAATTCTACATCCATACTTAAAAAGACAGTGGAAACCTTCCCTTGGACTAAATGTTTCTCTTTGATGACATACTCTATAATCTTAGGTTGCAAAAAGGAATGTGCTTTCTCTAGATTCATGATAGATGCAGCACCATCATGATCTCCCCATGATTTTACTCATTGCTGCATCAAGTTTCTGACAATTTTGTAGACCTAATTCAAACACTATATACTAGTACCTGAATGCACTTCCAATGGGATATTATATACTCCATCCTCATAATAGATCTTAACAGGTCCTACATTGAATTAGTTCTTCCAGATAAGTTTGCATTTCCTCACAAAACTTAGAGGTGAAAATGAACAACTACAACTTCTCAGATACCAGGTCCTTTAATCTTATGCATTGGACATATTTAATCCACGTAACTTCAACTTTATATCAAAAGGTGATATACTGCATATTCTGTATTTTTTGAAGAACTTAGCAGCCTTCTATAAGTAACAAAACACTAAACAAAGACTGCACCGTTTAATAAAGAGGGAAATAGAAATAAGGGCGGTGGATTAACTTTTACCAAGTAATGAGAAAGTAAAAAAGATACAGCCAAAGGAAGGGAACTAGCGGATAAAACACAAAGCTTATTGAGTTTTGTCCTTATTGGTTAACATTCAAGGTCATAATATCACATGGTTTATCTAGGGATAGATCGTAAAAAGTTCCCTTTAAGTGAGAAGCATGACCAAACAACAAATGCACCGTGAGTATAAAAATATTCATATGCTCTATCATAGTTAACTTTAGCCAGGTCAGTTGGATGATAAAGTGAAGTGCATCTGCTGTTACTCCACCAATTAATTGACAACTAAATGCAAGAGTGACAACTTCTACGCCAGACTAAGCAACATGGTCTGAAAGACCGATTATATAAGCATGTAAACCATGCCATTGTATAACAAATCATCTAAGGAAATGAGGAACGAGCACTTTATTTCATTCTTTCCTTAAATGACTAGGCAATCGAGAATGATGCGAATAGGGTATAAACTCCATGTGAGGCACAATAAATTACACTGACTCTCTTAAAGAGAAATGAGCATAACAGCCTGATCCTTAAACAAAAAGGTACACGAGTCTAGCATCATGCCGGACTGCTAACTATGATCATATAGGCCACATTTTTTAATGATTGAGTTGAAGTTGTTAGGTAATCCGTAATCCTACCCACAACCATAACAAACAAACAAGAGATTACTAAAAAAAGTTATAGATCATTGCAGGAATCGATTATTGAAAACACGTGTCCTATATAAAAGCACTCATGAGAACAAGACCAAAAAATAAAAGAATGTGCATATTAGATTCAAAAAGAGTCTTAACCGAATACAGCACAACTGATTATTGGTATCTTAAGCACACAATTCTGTTCACATTGGACAATGATGCATCAATAAAGAAACATCAAATTCAAGCAACGATGCAGATCATTCAGTCTACTTACCTAACAGAGCGCGGACTTTCTCAAGAGCCTCCTCAGATATAGGTCCATTTGGCGTGAGCGAAGCTTTACAAGCGTTATAAAGCTTCTGTACAGCTGGCATGATTTTACGACCGCACACGGATCCAAACCCCCCAAAAAACAGCCAAAACTAACTGTCGTAACGGAAAATCTATCACAAATTCAAACAGCTCGATATAAAAGCAGCAATTCCAGTTTGAAGGGTCCTCTTATCTCGCTGAAGACCCTTCAAATCATTCATCCAATCAGAAAACCCCACGCAATCGCAATCAAACCCACAATCACGTGTCCACATGCAACTCAATTCATTCTCTTCTTCTGCATTTTCATACTCCCTACTAAGACCACAAAAATCCAGAAAAGACAAAATCAACATCAAATATTACTTAACTCAAAACCTATTCAAACAAAAATAATTGAACAAGAAAACAGAGTGAATTCTTCCACAACTCATGTCAGGTGAAAATCACAGCTGACAACAACAACGACCCAAATTCACTATTAAAGTCCTAGGACATGCATAAAGATTAAAATTTGAAACTCATTCACCACATATGAAGCTATCCTCTGATCAATAAGAGAAAATTCAATTCAGCTAGTAAAAAAGAAGCACATACTAGGAAATAAAAAAACCAAGAAAAAAACCCAAAAAACAAGGTTCACAATTCGTCACCAGATAAGAAGAAAAATGAAAAAGAACTTCGTGCATACAAACATAAGCAAGTAACTCCACAAAATAATATCTGCCCGCAATTAATTCAAATGGTATTGAAGATAATTGCGAGAATTTCCAGGTGAAATGGAAATAAAGATTGATAAAAATCTTACCTTTGAGAAGTAATCAGAGCAGAGAATGAAGGGTGTTGGAGTAAGGGGCGTCCAGGAGAGATGCACCAGGCAGTACGAGGTAATTGTAACTGAAACGAGAGAAGATCGAAACGTAAAAATAAAATACGTTTGTCTTTATTTTGGCCTTTTTATACATGTATATATTTTTTGGGCGGGGCGGGTGGGGGTGGCGGAGGCGTCCGTGTTAGCGTATTAGAAGTAGCAAGATTGCTTTAACTTGCTGTCTCGCTCCCTCAGATATATGCCCTTTAGAGGTTTGACCCTATTATTTTTGACCCCCTCAAAAGAAATAATACACTTACTGTTAATCTTTTGCTTCTAAACTTTAAAGGATTTTTTTTTTTTGGTGTTTAGGGTTGTTTTGTGGGGTGGGGGGTGATTGGTGCGGTTGACAAATTTTTCTTTTTTATATTTTTTTCATTTTGATACGATATTTTTATTTTAATATTTGTTATGTAGTAGTATTTTTGAATATATATTTTGTATTTCTCTGCAAATAAGACAATATGGAATAACGGCTATAAATTATATATGCAGTCGAATTATTGTAATAAATTCTATTTTTATACCATACATGTGTTATAGTATTATAAAATATTAAAGAAAAACATATGTCGTTTCTTTAGAATTAGATATTTTAGATTCAAATCCCATTTTTCCCGCCCTATTTCTTAAAACTACTAGAAATTAGAGGGAAAAAAACCTATCCATTAAATACATACAGTTGTTCATGTAAATAGTTTCTTACCGCAAGTATTCTTGAACAACCATAAATTGACAAAATGTTTTAATCACTTGTACCACAAGTAAATTTTTTTTTTCGATATGGGAACAACAATTTTTGACTGAATAGTAAAGATGATGAGTTTCATCAACATGTTGTGCCTCAACTAGCAAGTATTTTGATCATTATGTCCAAAATACTCAAATTTGAATTTCACTATCAATTAAAGCGTAATTATAAGCAATATAAAAAAAATTACGCATCAACGTTAATAGCATAGCATCGGAATAGGGTGAACCTCTATATCTTCCCCCCCCCCCCCCCCCCTTCTGCAGCTGCCCTACCTCGTAAAGAAGACTCAATAGGATGATGATGCAAATTTCCAAGGCATGTAAAGTTAGATATTATCTGCTTGAGTTACCAATAATTCTGCTGTTCTTATCTATTTCATGCCTGATTAAATGTCTTAATGCGCATCAACTTCTCCCTGATTCTGTCAAACAATCCTCTGGATAAGGAAGACGTGATCTACTTTTCCTTTTACTTCCCCGACAGCAAAATTGTTACGCTAGAAAGCATATTCTATAACTAGACATTTTTTCATCTGCTTAGCAACACTTTCTTTATAATTTCGCTGGGATAATCTAAGAGACGATAAAAATGAACATTTGGATGTTTACAATTGATTGTGGAACTCTCCCTTTTTTTTTTTTAACAAAGAAATGACAGAAAATCGAGCAAAAATCTATTTGAATTCGAGAAGTTTCGAACACTCGAATTCGAAACTTTTCATTTGTACTATAAAATGAATTTTGTTGATAGCTACTATTGCTTAACACAATCTTGTCACTGTCACAGCTTGATATCCCAATCTGAACGGAATAGGCTATTCACTGACTTCCTCAGGATCGTTAACAAGTGCATTTGACCTCGAACCTTTTTGCCAGATTGGGATTTGTTTTGGGCATTTTTAAACAAACCAAAGTACAGGAAACAAGAGTTCAATCTTTTCATTCCATCATCTAACTGTTGTACTTGGATCTTGATCTTAATGCCTAACTGATTCTACTTATAGCCCAGCATTTTCACCCTTTGGGCCGTGCATTGCCTTTCCGCATCCCAAAACAATTTGCCCTTGATACTATTCACCTTTCATTTTTTTTTTTTTTATTTCGGGTGGGGTGTGATTGTGAAGCATTGTTTGGATTGTAAAAAGAAAAATTACTACGTTTTCTGTTAATACATTTTTTAATCACATTATTATCTCACATATATTAAATTGTTACAGTAATTTTTCTGCAAAAAATCTAAAAAAATGCAATCCAAACAAAGAAAGAGGAAGAAAAAATGCATGGAATTTGTGGGATGGTAGGTAATATTTGAGCTTCTTGTGCAACAGTAAGAATCTCCTAATATTCGAGCTTCTTTTTGGTATTATAAGATTGGTAGGTAAGTTGTGGGATGGTAGAAAGAGGAAGGAAAAGTGCATGGAAAAAAGTTACCTTCACTTTGTAACAAATTATAATTTTCAGGTACCTTGTAGCTTTATTTCTTTTAACATCCATTTTGGCTTACTTTATGTTATGGAACCTGAGGATTTTGCAAGAAAGCTGTCATCATAGCTATAATAATAATAATATTACACTGACATAATCTCCATGAATAATTGTTAATTACCCCTTTATTTCAAATATTTCGAGATTTAATAAACCTTAATTAAAAAATGAGCTTACCTTTTTCTCTTTTTTTGTTACCTCATTTTTTCTGTGACTTTTTTTTTTAACTTTTTAAAGAGAGACCGTAACCGTGGTAAATGTCCATGAGAAATATGGGCTGGATCAGCCTAAGGACAGAGAGCAACTACTAGGCATAGGAAAATATTTGATCCATAAGTTAATGGGTCAGTGTCAGTCGCCATAAAAGTCTAGATAAGAATGTCCATGCCAACCCAAACCCCCAAACACAAAATAATAATAATAAATAAATAACCACCAAACCCCCAAATTAAAGTTGAAGCCTGAAGGAATTTAGGCTTCTGTTCAGTTCCTTCTGCTGAATGCTGGGCTCTTAGAGAAAGCTTACAGCTTGCAAAAAACCTCGATATCCAGTCTCTCGAAGTGGAGATGGACTCTTCCATTATCATCTCCTTGTGTAAGTCAAGTAATCTTATTTCTCATGAACTTTCGCCTATTATTCTTGATTGCAGGAACTGTTGACTACATTCCAGAAAGTATGTTTTCATCATAATTATCGAGAAGCAAACAAATGTGCAGACATCCTTGCCAACTGGGGAAGAAGCAACACTCAAGACTTCACTTTTTTTGAATTATGTTCTAATTTTGCACTTCCCTTACTTTTGCAAGACTTAAAGGGGCAAGACTTAAAAGGGCGTTACCACCCCACGGATGACTGTAATGCATCTTTATTTACCAAAAAAAAAAAAAAAAGTTGAAGCCCGAAGGTGACATTCCAATAAGGTGGGCCAGTATCAGCAATTCGGCAATTTCATAGCCTTTATGGCCTTATCCTTTTGCAAGCCTTTTTCTCAATCAAATCCAGATTCCAGATTGTGATTTGGTAGGCAAAGTGAAAACTACATAAATGATTTTTAAAAAAAAAAAAAAATTGGAAGATGAAAGCAATCCCACTTTATTCATGCAATCTAACTAAAGATTCTGATAAAAAGAAGATACAAGATGGAAATCATGACTAGCACTGTTACAACCCATAACATAGGATAATTAATAAACAATGTCAAAAGACATCAAAATCACCATTAATCCTCAGGAACTGGTAGGTCCTCATCTGCAAGTGGTGCCAAAATCCAATCTCCATTCTCATCTATTACCATCCCTTTGTTCTTCTCAACCCACCATGTCTCAGGAACCAAATAGTCTTCTTTCAAGAATGCGCTAGACTTGTTCACCAGAGCTAAACTTCTCTTCACCTTCAGCTCAAACTCTCCTTTACTCCCATTCCAACCATTTACAACATGCAATATTGCCTGCAAATTGTGCCAATCACTTGGGTTTTTGGAGTCCTTCAAGTGTGGTGATTTCCTTGTATCAATCTCCAAAAGAGTCCCTGTATTAACATAGCCAAGCAAGCCACTGGGGTACAGTGGAATCAAATCAATCTTGTTTTTAACATGCAAAATTTTCAGATTTGGGAATTCAAGAACCCTGTCATTGAAAGCCTTATTCCCAACTTGCGGACTCCCAAAAACAATGGCTGATACCGGAATATCAGTCACCCCATTTTCCACGAGATCAAAAGCTGATAAAATTGATAAAGCTGCACCAAGACTGTGCCCAGTGAATGTTATGCTGAGCTTTTCATCTTTGTACTGCTCAATCAATGTTTTCATTTTTGACAGAAGCTGTTTTCTTGCACTTGTTTTTGTAAAAGAAGATTTGGGATCTTCAGAAACATAAATAGTTAGCCAACCATACATAACTTTAGTCGCTTTCTCCTCCTCATCTTCATCGCTGTCGTCTTCATTTGCTTCAACCTTCTTGTCCCAAGATTTTGGCTTAAAAAGCTGATCAGCTGATTCAGGCCGAGCACTGAAAACGTCTATCCATTCATAATCTCTGGACGTGCCCCGCCAGGCAACGTAGATTTCACGGCGGCCTAAAGATTTGCTAACTTCATCGGTGGTAGTAGCAATGTAACCAATCCAATTGGACTCACGATCCCATGCTTCACGAGAGCGGGAGTGGAGGAGGATGGCTTCTGGAACGCCGATTTGAGCTGTGGCGTAGAGGAAGCAGTAGACTTGATAATCTGATGCATTTTCCAGCATGACTTTTTGGAAGAATGATTTCTTTCCGTAGCGGCTGCTGCCTGCAAACTTGGAGTTTGCATCATTGACGAAGGAATCATACGTTGCTTGGCAGAAGTCGCCGCACCGGAGGATCAGTTTCCGGAGGCTCAGATCTAAGGGGTCTAACAGCCCTTCCCAGTTGTTGCTCCCAAGCAGTTCAGGCCATGTTGGTTCTGTTCCTGCTGTTGTTGCCATGGGGCAATTAATATAAGAAGAAGAATTGAAGAAAGTTTCAACTTTCAATATGGGAAAGGCTCAAGTTTGAGAATGGTTATGTGAGATCTGATTTGAGGTTGGAATTGGATAGGCAACTGTTTTTAGGCTCTTAGGATATGTAAAGCCATGGATATGTGAATTGTGATGTTGAAAATTCGGTTAAATATTTTAAGGCAATTAGGATATGTAAAACCATGGGGCCTCCATATTTTTTTTTAAAGACAATGGGATTGGTTGGTTCAACCGATTGAATTGCTAACCGGTCTTGCCTCTGGTTCAGTTCAGTAAAAAATCTAAAGAATCAATTGAACTAATCAAATCGATAAAAATTGGGAAATTCAATTGGTTTTCATTAAGTTTTTTATTTTCTAAAATAAATATTTTAGTTTCATTCAAAAGTTTTAATATTACAATAAAAAAATTACATAAATCTTTGAATCGGAATTAAATCGATTGAACCGCCTATTCACTTTCTGATCCAAGTTTAAAAACATTATTGTTTGAATCAGCAGACACCGCATTAACCATGGGGCCTGTTAATTGTGACGTAGCACATTTTTCAAGAAAGTAGCACAAATGGTAGACCCAAGTCATAAATTTACTAATTAAGTTGGGAATAATTGGGACGGGAGAATTATGGGAGAGAAAAGGATACGTGGAAGGAAGTGAAGGTGCTCATGAATTGACCTTTAGGTTTTCCATCTTGTATTCGTTGACTTTTAGGCATCGCATCAACTGTAGAGTGGTAATGCAAGTGTAGAGTGGTATATGCGTTTGTTTGGATTGAGCATTATTTACTCAATTTTATTTGCTTACATCGTCATTACAACTTTCAATATACATTTTTATCTTTCTAATTACCTTTTTATCTCACATACATCACATCACAAAAAGTGCTACAGTATAAATATCCCAAAAAATCCCAAATAACTTACAGTCCAAACAAATGTCTTGAGTCTAGTTGTTCTTGGCAGATTGGGTTGGTAAGATTGTGATTCCTGTGCGGTGATTGTATATAATTCGGTATATATTCATATAACTTTGTTACATACATAAATTTTATTAAACGTATCAACTCAATTTAATAACACAATCATACAGTCTCCATGTAATAGTTCGGTCGGTCATGTAGTTTTTCTTTAAGGCATTGACCAGTGTTCAAATCCTGTAATCATCCATGTAAATATACACTAAATTTTAAAATAAGTTAAATGATCGTTTGTAAGTCTACAAATACAACCGTATTTGCTCTAATCCTTCATTAGCATATTATTCTCATTGTTCTCATGATCATAACCATACAGCAGCAACATGGTGCATGGTTTAGATTACTTGATGTTGTGTTTTTCTTTCCTCATATTCTGTTCACGAAATTCATATGACAATAGGTGGTATCATGGTTGTCATCTGTGTCCTATGATCCTAAGGAACGTAGTTGCAGCTCTCGGGTCGGTTGATGAAGACTAATACGTTTGAAAAACGTTTTCAAGAGTAAACATATTTCTAGGAGAGATAATTGTGTGCATCTGAAGGCGAATCCAACAGATGTTCAATTCCTTTTCCAAAGATAAGGTAGCAGACAGCTCTGTTTCATTATGAAAATTACCGCAAATAGAAGGCGTGATCGGTGAGATACGAGGAGTTTTAAGTGACATGAAACAGCCTGGTTCACAAAAAAAAAAAAAAAAAAAAAAGAGTCAAGAATGCAACGTTTAATTTGACTCCCATAAGGTCATAACAATAAGAATAGGATTGAAAGACCCGAAAGACGAACTAAATTGCTTTATGCTCGAATTGAACTCAACTCAGTAAGAGCTCATTGGAATTTGGTTTGTCAGCTAATTAAATCAAGTTTGAATAGTATTTTGTGTTTGATAAATTTTTAAACTCGACTCAATTAGTATATGAGTGAAATTTACATGTAAAAAAGTTTAAATTATCAAGCTTGACTCGAGTTCGACTCAATAAAAATTCATTCAAATTCGAGTCAAGAAATAAACAAATTAAATTTAAACAAAACTTAATACTTATTAGAATAATCAAACAAACTTGAACATTAAAATGTTTGATTTGTACTGAAACCAAAAAAAAAAAAAAAAGCTACTTAGACATTTGTTTTTCAACAAATTATGGTTTTTAGTTTCAACCTTTTTGTTTATTTAAACCCATTTTGGAAGGTGTGTTGCTTGTTAGGAAATTAGGAGATGTTGGAATTTCACGCTTCATGGGTTACTCGTTTTGTTGTCCTATAGGGCTATACTTACCTACAATAGGGATCAAGCTATTAAAGGCGGGATATTAAACAGCAACAGAAGACCGCCTTTAACTGGCCACCATAAAAATACGCTGATTTTCAACGGCTCGTGATGGGTGAGTCGATGACGCCTTCAAGTCCTTGCGGTGCGCATAGTTTGGTCTAAAGGCGCTGCCTTGGAGGCAGGCAATAAACCACGCCAAGTTGCTTGCAAGCACAATTAGATCATAAATGATTCGATAAGTTGCCTTGTTGAACCCGACCCGAGTAGCAAAAAAAAAAAAATTTTTTTTTGGGTTTTATTATTTTATTATTATTATTATTTTTTGTGTTTAAACCCGTGAAGATTTACCGAATTGGTACCGTTTGCTCACCCCTCTTGAACAAGGAAGAGTTTAGAGATTTTGAGCGACGTCGTATGCAGATCATCCCTGATGCCCAAATTCCCAGTCTGCAACTGAGATACTCGATGAGATTTGATAAAAATTAGAATTAAACAGTTAAAATCTACTTCACTAATCCCTTGGTTGTCGCATATTAATTAATTAATTAATTTTTGCCCATCTTTTCTATTTAATCGAAGTTTCATATTTCCTGTGAATCAGTAGAGTAGCAGAGAGCAGGGGAAACATCGGCCATGGTTGATGTCATCAAATGTTGTCTGGATTCAATTCGACAAGTAATTCTCTTCTCTTTTTCCATTCTAATTCTCAGAATTATTTCGTTTCTTGGGGAGTAATTTTGTAACAGTTTCATTTTGTATATATATTCAAGTGCTCGAATTATTGCAGTCCCCAAGTTAGAATTTTGAAAATTGTAAGCTTTAGTATAGAGGTAGATTATTGAAACCGCATTAGGATTTATGGAAGATTAGGGTGCCAGAAAACCATTTGATAAAAATGCCTGTATGGAGTCAAAGATTGGACTTTGTTGCTTCTTATATTGCGTCATGATTAATTCCAGCTGTATATTACTTTTTCCCGAATTTTGTGTAATAAATGTAAGGATCAAAAAAATCCCACTTGAGCATTTTAGTGGAAAAGAAATTGGAAGCATGAACAGGAAATAATTACTGGCGCAGATTTTGATTTTTATAGGAAATTGTGTTGTTAATTAGTTAAGAGAGAATTGATTGCTATCAAAATGAAACGCACAGTTCATTGGAGCCAGTTGGTGAAATTTTGTGAATTTAGATAGATAGGGCAGTCAATGCGATTTTATAATGCTCTGAGAGTTAATATGGTCCTGTTCTATGGGTTGCATGGGAAGATGAAGCTGAGAGAATTTTCCTTGACGTGTTATTCAGATATCAGATGATATTAAGGATGCCATTGTATATTTGGATGCTGGATGTGCTGAGAGTTTTCAGTTTCTTGGAGCTTTTCCTTTATTATTAGAACTCGGTGCTCGTGCTGTTTGCAGCTTGGAGAAGACGTCTGCTCTTGATGAGGTCAGGTGATTCCCATTTACTTCTACTTTGTTTAACCCATTCTGAAACTTTGGTTGCATGTCTGTATTAAATTTTATTGATCGTTGCAACTGTAGTTGTACTACATTAGCTTGTCTTCTGCCAAATATTTGCTCTTCAAGATAACAAGAGGATTGCTTAGTTTTGTGCTCGCATTATTTAATTTTCAACTTTAGACGCTCTATTTTGAGAATCCTTACATATTCTTAGATATAGTGACCTGTTCAGCAACTCATGCTTCAGGTGTAATTTTGTTCAAATCACCGTTTTCGGCATCATCTCGTGTACTGGTAATATCTTCCAGCTGAAATTGTGCAAGACATTTTTTCATCTTGGAAGCCATGTCATCTGCTCCTCCAGTACCAACCATTTTTTCCCTGTTTTCCCCCCCTTTGATGAATAAGATACCTGACTTATTATGACAATTTTCTCTAATATGAAAAAGCTTAAAGTCAATACTGAATTGAAACTAGTGCAGACAACCAGAGAGTGATATATGCGAGATCTGATGTCTTTTTTGTGCTTTCATGGGAAGTTTTTTTGTATAATGAATCTTTAAATTTTTTTTTTTTGGTTGGCAATTGATAATCCATCTGGAGTTTCTCTTTCCCTGTTTAGTTACTTTTCTCATTTCTTGATGATAAGTGTTGACAAATTTTGTAGGTGGTTAGCTGGCAATCAAATCCTGAACCGGCACAGAAAGTGGTGGTCATCACCTCTCGCCTACTTAGTGATGCACATCGATATGTTTTACGTTGCCTGAGCACTATTCAAAGAATCCACCGCTGTATAATCTTTACACCAATATCAGAGGCTCGTATTCTGTGCTTCTGTTTGTTTTATCATCACTCACTTGTACTAATTATTAGTGCTTGACCAAATAGAGAATGTATGATGGAACAGGTCTTTCTTGTGCTTTTTTCTTTCTTACAAACTTAAGATGCCGTAATGTTATTATTATTTTTTTTAATGTTGGGATTTTTGTTTAATTTGAAGCTTCAAGTAGCAAAAAATTTCTAAAGGATATGTATTCTAAGATCCAAAGATTCAATTGGAGTTTTTTCCATGGAAGCTGCTTGATACCATAGATGTAAAATCTGATAGTCATGGAAGTTTTATTTGTAATTGCTATTTAATTTGCTCTGAAGGATCCAAATTTCTCATTTATGCTTTTGTTTGTATCTCTATGCATTAGTCATATGCTGGTCCTTCTGTAAACAAACTACAACTGTGCAAGAAGCAAATACAAACAGCACATTTAGTGCTTGGTGCTTCATGGTTTTTCTTATTTTATTTAAATGGATGAGTAAGCATGTATCTGAATTTTTTTTTTCCTTTTTTTCCTTCAAATTGATCTTATATGTGGAAAGCTTTTATGCCTCCAGCCTCAAATGTATGCTGTAAATGAGAACTTGAAATGATGGACTAGGTATTGGCTGAATTCCATCAATGATTTCTGCTGTTAGGTTTGAATTG